ATCTATTCCAGCCTGTTGAGTGTACCCCTTAACTACCAGCCTGGCCTTGAACCTTTCCACACTACCATCTGCTTTGTGTTTGATTTTATACACCTATTTACAACCAATTGCATTCTTTCCTTAGGGCAGAGGAACCAGTTCCCAAGTATTATTTGCATATAGTGCTTCATATTCTTGTGGCATTGCTTTTTGCCAAGCAGGATGCAAGATTGCTTCATCATAAAAAGAAGGTTCAGAATTATGTGAAATGGTTTCAATCAACTGTTGACTATCAGAACACAAAGAGGTGAAGCAAACACTATCATGGTTGGACATAAAAGAGGTGAGAGAGTGATGTGAACTGGAGGTATCTGAAAAGGAGTGCAGGTTAGGTAAAGTGTAATTATAATATTTCAGGTAGCTAGGGGTATGAAGTGACCTAGTTGTTCTTCTAAGGGTGATGATGTAGGTGCAGGTATGGGTTGTGAGGTGATTAATGTGTTGATGAGAGGTTGAATATCAGGAGCTGTAGGGGAGACTGTGTTTTCATCAGTGTTAGTGATTACTTGATCTGTACTGAATTCATAGGATGTGTTAATGTCCAGTGATTCATCATTAGAAAAAATGCTTGTCGAATTAGGCATGCAAGTCAAGTTGTTAGAGTGGTGAAATAGGAGTTTTAAAACATAAGGAAAGCTAGAACCATCAAAAGCCAGTACAAAAGGAAACACAGACTCATGAAAAATAACATCTCGGACTATTTTGGTAGCTAAATTTAAAACCTTGTATCCTTTTGTATTGAAGGGATAACCAACAAAAATGTGTGGTGTTGCCCTTGGCTCAAACTTATCTTTATGAGTTTTCAAAGTAGTGGGGACGCATAGGCATCCAAAACTTCTAAGATGAGAATAGGTAGGTTGTGTATGGTACAACAATTCATAAGGAGTTCTATTCTGTAAAATCTTGGAAGGCAATCGATTAATGATGTATGTGGTTGTGAGGACACACTCTCCCCAGTATTTCATGGGCAATTTGGACTGAAATAAGAGTACTCTTGCTGTTTCAAGAAGGTACTTGTGTTTTCTTTCAACTACACTATTTTGTTGAGGTGTGTAGGGACAAGACTTTTAGTGTATTATGCCTTTCTCTTGGAAAAAATGAGCGGCTTCAGTAGAGGTGAATTCTAGACCATTATCAAACCTGATAATTTTAATTTGGTCTGAAATTGGTTTTCTACAAGTGACACAAAGGCTTTGATTGTTTGTAAGGCATTACTTTTACACCTTAGCAGTTGTGTCCAAGTTGATCTAGTGAAGTCATCTACCATGGTCAAGAAATAATGGTAACCATCATGAGTAGGAATGTGGTATGGTCCCCATAGATCAACATGGAGCAACTCAAAAACTTTGGTGGTGTTGGTTGTACTTTTTGGAAATGGCATTCTAGTTTGCCTAGCCAAAGGGCATATCGCACAAGTAAAGGGTTGTATAGGTGAGAAATGAATAGGTATAGTTTGGATGCCTCTTATCTTTACAAAAGGTACATGGCCTAGTCTATGGCACAAAAGTTCATCTCCATGATAGTTATCAGACCTAACAACAAAGAAAGAACAATCAGTAATATGACATGGAGAATCAAAACTAGAACAAATATCTTTATTGATAGAGAAGCATTGTTTTACAATAGATGGTGCTGAAACATCATTACATTTGACTAAAGAAGGAACTGTATGACAATGACTTGAAGAGGCATGAGATTTCTTGATGCCAATAGGAGTTGGACAACAATTGTGACACTTTGAACACAAGAAATACAAACCATTCTTGGCTCTACCAAGTTCCAGAGGGCTCTTCAGAGAAGGGCCCTGTAGTAAACAAGAGACACTATTAAAACTTGCTACACACTTGAGTTGAAACACCAAACAATGAACTAAAATTAGATTGAACTTGAAACTAGGTACAAACAACACTTTCTGCAGAGTCAAAACTGGACTTAAACAAACATCACTAATTTCAGTCACTTTAACTTTGTAACCATTTGGTAAACTGATAAGGAAAGATGATGGCAGTGGTTTAATGTTTGTGAGTGAGTCTTTATTATAGGTCATGTGATGTGATGCTCGTGAGTCTATGATTCAAGAATCAGCAGTTAACTTTGCACATTTACAAGAAAGATCACCTATTTCAGTAATAGAGGAATAGCAAACAAGTATACCTACAAGGTTCACAGCTCCACTTAACATGTTATTTGAATTATTTATAGTTCCATCTCCAACCGAGATTAAGTAGTTGTTCATACTGACTTTTGGACAAGTTCAATGGCATTTGCCTCTTCAACCCAGGGTCATCTTCACAATGACTCCCATCACTCTCAGAAGTACATGCATTTGCAGCAGAGACAACACTCTTTCCCTTTGAGAATTTAAAATTTGGTGGATATCCATGAAGCTTATAAAATCTGTCTTTTGTATGACCTGTCCTCCTGAGAAATCACAAAGCAAAAAAGTCCTGATGGTACTGGAGTTTCCTCTAAACACATTTGTGTTGTTTGAATTTCCAGTTGTTCCTGCATTTTCTCTAGATGAATTATAGTTGGTTCTGGGTCCTCCTTTGGTACCTGCATTGTTGTAAGTTAAAGCAAACGCATTCAAGGAGGTTGAATCCAAAGCAGTGTGGTTATGAGGCTTCACTTTTCTTTGTTTTTTCCTCTTGAGACAATATGGCAAAAGCTTGTGCCATGCTAGGCAATATGCTCATCATGAGAATGTTTCCCCTGATGGTAGTACACATTTCATTCAGTCCCATCAGGAAGTGTATAAGTCTTTTATCCTGTTTAGCCTTGACTAATTTTACCTTTCCACCACAAGTGCACACACAGTTGCATTGAGAACCTACATCAACAATGCTCATTTCTTCCCAGATTTTCTTCATCCTCATATAATATCCAGTGATATCCAAGGTGCCTTGGACAAGATCATTTATCTCATTTTGAAATTGATACAACTTACAACCATTGGTTTGGTCATACCTCTCCTCCAATTCACTCCACAATTCTTGTGCATTACTAACATATTGTAGGCTATCTCTTAGATCTGGTGATAGGGAATTGAGAATCCAAGAGGTTACCATGTCATCACACCTTTCCCACTACTGAAAACTAGGATCAGTAGAATCGGGTCTCACAATTTTTCCATTGATAAATCTCGTTTTACTCTTGACAGACAAAGCTCTAAAACAACTCTCCTCCAAGATCTATATCCAGTACCATCGAAAACAATAGGCAATAGAGATGAACTTGCATTCTTAGATGGATGCAAGTAGAAAGGGCTAGGAATGTCCATCCTAACAGTGGATGTGGAACCAGTCTGAATTGGATCAACTTGGTTATCAACCATGGTAAAATCAGATCGCGATGGAATTCAAAATACAATTTGAGCAGCAACAATTGTAACTCAGAATTGAAGGAAAAACTTGAAAGCAAAATCGAGAACATGAAAAAAAAAAAGGAACAATGTCGATTTGATTATCAATAATCTGAAAACTCAAAATTCAACCATCAACTCGATATGAAAAACTCACAGACTGATATGGATGCAGAAAAAGGAGCAGGATCTATGTCCAGTGCTCTAATACCATGAGAAAATCAACACTCTGTGATCACAAACAATCAAATTCTTCCATTGATGAACCTTGAGTTCATAGAAGAAGAAGAAGAAGATTCTGGAAGAACTATATGAAGAATGTATTTCATTGAATGTGAATTAAGGGAACAACTATTACATGTGATCCTATATATATAGATACACAAACTAAGAGCAAGCTAACAAACTATACTAAAACTAACGTCCCTCTAACTAACTCTAACTAACAGTGAACAGTACTAACTAACTTTGTGACTAGTTAACAGTAATAACTAATTTATATTCTCATCAGAAACACTTTAAAAATAAAATAAAAACTCGAACACCAATCTATAGGAAACAATCAAGAAATTACTAAATCATTTGTGCTTCAAGCTTTCTTCAAATTCATTAACAGAAATAATCATTAGTTAAAGTATTTCATAATCCACATTTCATAATCAGAAATCAACTCCCATATTTCATAATCCACGTTTCAAGCTAAAAAAATTGAATTATCAAAAAGATAATTTGTTAAAAGAACTTTAAATTTTCAATTTTTTTATATATATGAAGTCGTCTTAAAATTCACCTTAAATTCTCCTAATTTTTTTCCAAATATTTGTAAAATTAATATTCAAACTTCTTAAGATATTTTCAATCCAAGTACAAAGAAAAATAAAACACTAGAAAAAATATAACTACTAACAAGTAAAGCAATGCAAAACCTACTAAAAAAAACCACAGTAAGAACAACAAAATAGTGCGATAATCAAGATACAATAAACAACAGACAACGATAGCTATTAAAAATACTTTTAGTACATCCACAAACACCAACGAATCTAAACCCTCAAAAAATACCATAACACTCAACTACGTACTAATCTTTTACCCCTGTCATATCATATGGTGCCAAATTCTCTTTAAAATTGAGCAATGCGATATGGGCCGGGTCAATGTTTAATTAGCATACATTTCAAATAGACATGAAATGGGCCCAAATCCATTATTTTCATTTTCCGGATCAGTATTTAACCTCATTCTGCCCCATTTGGGCACAAACTTTTTCCAGTCACTAGGGTTTTCCGTCTTCTTCGTAAAAGGTAAAGCTTTCTAGTTTTGATTTTCTGGTTAAATTACTGTAAATTAGGGTTTTCATTGTTGCTATTATCTCATTTTCTGATTAGAATGATGGTTAATTTTTTCTTTTGAGAAAGTAATTAATTTCACAAATGTAGCTATGCCTGTAAAAATGCTGTTTTTCCCTATTTATTGAAATATTTTCAAAATTAGGGTTTAGTTGGTAAGGATTTAAGATATGAAGAGTTGAAGCATTTGAAAACTAGGGTACGTACTTTTTGATCGATTTCTGATAACATGGTTTTGTTTGGGTTCTGTCAGGTTTTACTGGAGGTGAAGATGAGGCCTATTTTTGTTGGGAACTTTGAGTTTGATACTCGTCAGTCAGAACTGGAACGGTTTTTCTCCAAGTATGGAAGAATAGAGCGAGTCGACATGAAATCTGGTATAGCTTAAGATTTTCTGTTTTTTTCTAAATGATTTAGCTAGTTGGGGTTTGATTACTTGTCTTATGTTGTACATGCTGATTTAAGAAGCAAAGTTGGAATAAGTTCGTGGCCCGTCCTGGGGGTTAACTTGGGGTTTTAAGTTTCATGGAGCTCACACTCTATATATGAGTGTGCACTTTATGTGTTGGATAAGGGGTCTTCTGGGCATGCCTGGGATTGTCTGTTCGAAACTTTCCATTTCAATTACTTTAAGTAGATGGTTACAACTTATATGTGAGAATTGTTTTTCTATATTAGTAATTTCTTTGTGTGATCACGATCCTTGCAATTCTTGGTTCATAAAGGCTAGTAGATTTTTAATGGTTTCATTGTATGGAGTTGTTATTTAATGAGTTTCATTTCAACTGTATGAATTAATGACTGAACTTGCATGATAATTTTTTGTAAGCAAGTTCTTGTATGCTTGTCTGATAGCATTAGGGTTTTTTGGTTCTGGGATCTTATCTAATCATTGTCTTGTTTAATCATTTCGACCTTGGAAAGTATGTACTCATTTGAGGTGTATTCTAGGTTACAGTTTTTTACCACTTGGGATAGTCGACTATAATTATTTTGGTTAAACAAACAACATAGCTATATGACTATGTCTACAGCATGTAGAAATGCTATGCCTGAGTTGTCAAGACATAATGTGGAACCAAACATTCATTTGGAAAAGAATCTCCACATTCAAGTGTTTATTTTGCCGCAGGCACATCTACTAAGGAAAAAGAGCTTCTATCATGGCTCAACACTTCTCTGCCCCTATCTGCCTGCCTGCTCTCCTCCTTCTCACTGATGGAATTGTTCTGAATTTCTTACATCGATCTTCTGTCATTCACTTACTTCACTACTCATGTTGCTTATCACGAGAATGATCATGGTGGGATCAGTCAGTTCATCATGCCATGCCTACCACTACTAATAAAGGGGATCAATGAATTATATCATGCCATGCCTACCAATTCTGAAATCGTGCTCTGAAATTGGTGATGCATGCTTAGCAATGACTACTCAGACCTGAGTTTTAAACCTTTAATAAGCCTTCATCACCTTGACCATCATCATCATCATCATCATGATCTAGTTCATGCAAGGCCCTCTACTTCCTTACTTTCCTCAAGTCCTCACATAATTGCAGGTGTTGTACGTTATTTAATTTCTAAAGGAGATGAGAACTTTGATTTAGCTGATGTATACTCTACCGAAAAGATTTTAGATCCCATGCCTTACTGTTCTTTCGGCCTTATAATGAAGTCTTTACAACTACTACAGGGTATGCTTTTGTCTACTTTGAGGATGAGCGAGATGCAGCAGATGCAATCCGTGGGACTGACAACATGCCATTTGGTTATGAAAGGCGCCGGCTGTCCGTGGAATGGGCAAAAGTAATGTTTCCATCTCCATCCTTCCTAAATTGAGAAATGCAATCTGTTAGACATTTCCTCTCCGAAAGACAGTGCAATTTGTTAACAATTGTCATCTTATTTAATTAATTATGACTTTGTTTGTTTTGACAGGGTGAACGTGGTAGGCATCATGATGGCCCCAAGTCTGGTGGAAACCAGAGACCAACCAAAACATTGTTTGTAATAAATTTTGACCCTATTCGTACTAGGGTCCGAGACATAGAAAAACACTTTGAACCTCACGGCAAAGTCCTTCATGTTCGCATCCGCCGCAACTTTGCATTTGTGCAGTTTGAAAATCAGGAAGAAGCCACAAGAGCTTTGGAGTGTACACACATGAGGTTATTAGATATTTTAGTCTATTGCTTATATTTGCAATATTCTGTCTGTTTGTTTCCTAACAAGAAGTGAGTTACTAATGCATTTTGCAGTAAGGTCCTGGATAGAGTGGTTTCTGTGGAGTATGCATTGAAGGATGACGATGAGAGGGGGGACAAATATAACAGCCCAAGACGAGATTATGGCAGGCAAAGGGATAGTCCTTATCAAAGGTCACCAAGCCCAGTGTATCGTAGGAACCGACCAAGTCCTGATTATGGCCGACCTCGGAGTCCTGTTCATAATGGTCCATCATATGACAGATACAGGAGTCCTCAGTATGGAAGGTATCGCAGGTAGTAAAAACTAAATCCTCTTTTTCCTGTTTGGCCATTAAACTGTCTTAACAACATTTCTTGATGCAAGTCGGTAACACTTGTTGATGTTTTCCCTTTGTATTTTTCAGCAGGTCTCCTGTCCGGAGGTCTTGAACTTGAGTCGGTTCATTATCTGGGAGAGCTTGTGCTGTCATAATGTAAATGCTTGATGCTGTCTGCTTGTGTAGGAGAAAGATCTATCTTTTATCAGTGTAATGGATTAGCTGTTGCGTTTTGTTGCTTTAACTTAGTTGACTGTAGTTTGTGAATTTAGCTGTTGGAACATTGTGTAGTAGTAGTATCGCATTGCCTATGAATGTTGGAGACCATTTGGTATTAGCTCATAGATAGGTTTGGTTGGAAACTTTTGCTCAAGTACATAAAATCCGAAATGCGATAAAAAAGGGATCCCTACGTTCATCCTTTTTTAAGTTGCTCTATTTATTCTATCATTTTTATGTCGCATTGAATGTGTTGCGATGACAACTTGTAGCTAAATGAATTGCCTAGTAAGCACGTTATAAGTATGAAAAAATTCTAGTGGTTATACATAAAATGATATAGTTACCCCCAAAGTTTAGTTATTAATGTCGTGGTAAAGATTAGACCTCGCAAAGTCAGTGTGGAAGTTCGAAGAAAATATTCTCAGCATCAATACTTTTCTATCCCACAAGATTTTCTTCCCTTGGAATGACTTATCCTTACAAACCTTTTTTCCTTATGGTGACACTAATTACCCCCCCCCCCCCCCCTCCTGTAATATTTTAATATGATTATTTACAGTTAAATACTTGTTTTCAATTAAAAATCTCAATTATTTTTCTTTCATTGTTAAATTGAGTGTTCAATCAAATAGTGTCAGTCTAGCTAAAAGGGGTTGTGCGGGGGGGGGGGGCTTGGGGTGTTCTGCAACTGATGTCGAAACAGGAAACTGCAAAATGAAACTCAAGAGCACCGTAGAGTGCTGAACTTTCTTTTGAAAAGTGTAAGAACAATGAATTGTGTAAACAAGAAGGAGAAAATGGAAATAGAAAGTCTTCAAGGATTAAAACCCTAAATAAGGACGTAATTAAGGAAAAGAGTGTGGCGTAGCAATAATGAAGTAGATGAAAATGACAAGAAAGTAAGAATCTATATTCATATCTTAATAGGAAAAATAATAATTTTGGACGATGTCTTCCTATTTACTCAAACTTTGGGTGGCGGTATTACCTGCTCGACTTGTACTAGTGGAAAGTAACATATATCCAACTAAATAGTCAAAATTCGTGCAAGTTAACCGGACATCAAAATAGTGGGGAGGGTGCATATTTTAGGGAAGTTAGTCAAACTTGAAGGAGGCTTATGTTGATATTGAGAATTGAGATAAACTTTTCATCTCAATTAGAAACAAGTAACTTCCAAACTTATTACATCCATTGAGAAGGAATGGAAATATGGAATGAACAAATATGACTTAACATTCAATCCATAATACATATGATATTTAAGACTTCTCATAATCTTTTTTTTTTCCATTTCATAGTTTTGGACAGACAATTATGATATATTATCAACAAGATGATTTTGCTAACTCTCTTTGAAGTGCTTTATCAAGCCATACCTCAGCATCTTGCATCATTTCTGGACTAAGTCTAACCATAAGAATACAAAATTCTGTTTCATTCAATGCTCCATCTCCATCTAAGTCTCCTTCTTTTACCATAGCCTCTGCATCTTCTCTGCTCATCCCTTCCATCCCTAAAAACCCCGAATTCTTTTGTAAGCTCGCGGATGTGATCAAGCCATTTTTAGGGTCTGCTAGAAGCCTGAATCCACCACATAGCTCCGCGACAAAGGCCTCCACGTCCAATTTTTCAGCCATCACGGGTAACAAGTCTTGATATTCTGTTGTTGCTTCGCAAACTTTGTAATTTTCCATTTCTTCTTCTACCTAGGACAAAGTTGGATGTCAACAACTGGTATGAATGAAAGTTCCTATTAGCATAAGAAATGTTGAGAACTCTATTTATAGTGCTAAAATTTCTTGTAAGGTTTAATGGGAAAGTTCCCTTAGAATTTTAAATGTAATTAGTAATTATTTTGGTGAATATTATGGAAGTATTAAGTAATATTGTTACATTGTCAAGTGGAGAGAATCATTTATTTAGGTAGGATAGGTAAAAGAGAGTGGGGATGGGCTATGTCCTATGGTTCATATTAATTCATATGGAATCAATGAATGGATGGCTTATGTAGGGACTCTAATTTTGTTAAACTAGTTTTTTATTAGGCAAGTTACATATTTAGTAGCTGATTGATCAAAATAATTATATTCGCTAATTAAATATATATATTTTTCATATTTAAAATGTATACTTAATGCTTATCTTATAAAAATATATATATTTACTGACTATTATTTGATAGACGACTATACAATATAATTTCACTTTTTTTCTTTTCTTTAAATAACTTATTTTTTTTGGAGTTGTTTACGCTACCTCTCTTTTATATCTAGATTCTAATCTATAGGTGTGGCTAACACTAAGTTGTTTTATTCGATTCATATTAAGTTTCTAAAATTACATAAATGTACTTGCCAACTAAATGACTTTTCTTTCCTTAACATTGAAAAAGACTAAAAAAGATTCACAAAATATTTTGTAAACTACCCAACTTAAATATAAAAATAATACAACTCCATAATAAGGATTGTACAAAAAAATTTAGCAGATTAGTGTCGTGTTTGTATAATTGTATTCTTCATTTGCCAAAAACATTACATATTGATTTACTTTTCTACGAATATGTTTATTGATGACCTTGTTGGATAATACATATATGTTTTCTATCGAGCGATAATAACGTCGATATGAAAAGTCTTTTATATAATTAAATTTTGAATTCGTCACTGTCAGAGTGGAACTTCTAGTTGTTTCCAAGTTGTCAACAGCATATATCGATCTTATTATATCGTGTAGGATAGTTTATTTGATGAGGGTTTCTAGGAAGGTTCATAGATGGGGATCTTCAAAGTGACTTGTGATTTTTAATTTAGCTAGATGTCATAAGTGTTCTCTTTCTTGGAAGTTTCCATTTGTCTCCATCTATGTATTTATGTATTGTGTGGCCCATGCCCCAATTATTTACGCGTTTGATACGAAGGAAAATATTTTTTGAAAAATAAGTAATTTCTTACTCATTTTTCAATATTCATATTAAGAGCCTGTTATTATAAGTGATATAGCAAAATATTATGAGAGTGGGAGTTCGAGACAGACGGCTGGCAGGGGATGAAATAGTCAAGAGGTGTGGATGTTAGGGGTGTTGAGTGGATGAGGAAGAGACAATTAACTTGAAATAACAGACTCAAGTTATAACTTGTTTTCTTTGTTTTCATTATAAAAGTCATTTTTTTATTTGTATGAATTTGTTTTCCTAAAGAAAATATATATTTTGATTAATCAAACGAAAACATATATATTTTTGTTTTATATAATTTGATCAACACTCTTAAAAGATGAGTGATAATCGCTTATAGATAGTGAGAATATTAGCAATATAAAAATAAAGGATGTTTACTTGGTACAATATATTAAAATTATACAGTAAAGTCTATAAGCTTATTTTATTAAAATTAATAAAGATAAAATTTAAATAAAATATTTAAAAGTTATATGACGGTTTATTGGTGATGGAAATGAGTAACCATAATGATTGAGAGTGCTAATTAAGGATGGAAGTGGCAGTTGTGGGGAATAGCTAAGTAGTGATTAAAAGGGATAGTTACGACCGATAATTATGGTGAATTATATTTATCATAGTAATAAGTTATAACAATGAGGGACGGCTCACACATATTAGTGGTTTAATGTCAAAATTTGAAGGTGCTGACTAATAGCGATGGTTGTTGATAAATAATGGAGGCGGGCGGATTGGTGACGAGTGGAGTGATTGTTGATAGTAATTGATAGTAACGGTGGTTATCAGTGATGATCATAAATAATAGGGTATTAAAACTAAAGATGGCAAGTAGTAGAGTCAACTGGTTGAATGACGGAGATCTTCTTCTTCTTAACACGAGATTCTTCACCCTTAACAGAAGGCGAAGAAATAAAATTAAATAATTTCCCTCAAAGATGATGCTGGATCTTGGTTGTACTCTAAAAAATAACACAATCATGAATCAAACCTATGTCTTCTTTTACAACTAATAAATGTTCTTCGAGATGGAAGTTGGAGGGAACTTTACTCGAGGAGTGCGGAAATCCTGGAAGAGGAGGCACAAGTGGAGTAATAAGGGACGCAGAGGGGAATTGGATTATAGGATACATGTTAAAACATTTATTAGATCATACAAACAAATAACGCATTATAGTTTTTATATTTCCGTTTATACATGTTAAAACCTTTTTTAGACGTTAGCTGAATATAAATATAACATGCATATGTTTAAAATACAAATTAAATTAGAAAGAGAACTTTCTAATAAGTATATGTGTGAAAATGATATCTACGAATATATTCCTGCCAAAGTGGTGGCTTGTTTTTTCCACCATTATTATTTGCTTTACGTGAGCAGAGTCTTAGAATGATAATAAAATTATTTTCGTATAAGTTATAAATTACGAGTATGAGTTATGAAAATAGTCACTAATATCAGTATTAATTAGGGTATGTTGTCTACATCACCCCCTATAAGGTCCGGCCCTTTCCCAAATCCTACAAACAATGAATATTTTATGCACAGAACAGTTTTTTGCCCTTTTCCTTTATTTGCATTATGTCTGAGAATACGTTAGAAAACGAAAAAGGCTTGTTTTCTTATCTAATTGTTTCATATGGTACGTTCTCTATTGATAATAATCACATCAATTTGAGAAATTATTTGCAATTTTGGCCTCTTCTTTCTTGGCCCGCAAATGGAGAATATTAATAGGAATTTCTTGTAATTAAATGGAATTTCTACATGTTTATCTTCTTGTAAGTTGTCATATTCTTATCTTTTATTGTCCAATTTCTTTCAAAAGTGAATATGAAATTCTATATACTTTTTATTGAACTTGTGTTGTCCCAATAAGTTTCACATTTGTCTAATATATTTGGTTCAATTGCTACAAGAAAGTAAGGTAAAGCAAAAATGAACCTTTTGACTTTGGTGATTTCTCTGCTTTTGATAGTGTGCAAACTTATAGGCTCATGGCTACAAAAAAGGCAAAGACGAGAATATTGCATATAAATAGAAAGATAGACAATACTCTTGTGCGGGCGAGAGTATTAGAGCAAAAAGATCAAGGATTTTATAGATATAAAGAGAAAAAGATAGACAGTTCTCTTGAGCTAGCGAGAGTATTAGGGCAGAAAGACCAAGAATTTTCTAGATATAAAGAGAAAGATAGACCGTTCTCTTGGGCTGTCAAGAGTACTGGGACAAAAAAATCAAGGATTTTCTAGATATAAAGAGAAAGATAGTTCTCTTAGGCTGGCGAGAGTATTAAGATAAAAAAAACAAGAATTTTCTAGAAATAAGGAGAAAGATAGACCATTCTCTTGGGTTGTCGAGAGTACTAGGGCATAAAAGATAAAGGATTTTCTAGATATAAAGACAAAGATAGATAGTTCTCTTGAACTAGTGATGGTATTAGGGCAAAAAGACCAAGAATTTTCTAGATATAAAGAGAGACCGTTCTCTTGGGTTGTCAAGAGTACTGGGACAAAAAGATCAAGGATTTTCTAGATATAAAGAGAAAGATAGTTCTCTTAGGCTGGCGAGAGTATTAGGATAGAAAAAACAAGATTTTTTTAGATATAATAAGGAGAAAGATAGACCATTCTCTTGGGTTGTCGAGAGTACTAGGGCAAACAGATAAAGGATTTTCTAGATATAAAGAGAAAGATAGATAGTTCTCTTGAACTAGTGATGGTATTAGGGCAAAAAGACCAAGAATTTTCTAGATATAAAGAGAAATACCATTCTCTTGGGCTGGCGAGAGTATTAAGATAAAAAAACAAGAATTTTCTAGAAATAAGGAGAAAGATAGACCATTCTCTTGGGTTGTCGAGAGTACTAGGGCAAAAAGATAAATGATTTTCTAGATATAAAGACAAAGATAGATAGTTCTCTTGAACTAGTGAGGGTATTAGGGCAAAAAGACCAAGAATTTTCTAGATATAAAGAGAAAGACCGTTCTCTTGGGTTGTCAAGATTACTGGGACAAAAAGATGAAGGATTTTCTAGATATAAAGAGAAAGATAGTTCTCTTAGGCTGGCGAGAGTATTAGGATAGAAAAAACAAGATTTTTTTTAGATATAATAAGGAGAAAGATAGACCATTCTCTTGGGTTGTCGAGAGTACTAGGGCAAAAAGATAAAGGATTTTCTAGATATAAAGAGAAAGGTAGATAGTTCTCTTGAACTAGTGATGGTATTAGGGCAAAAAGACCAAGAATTTTCTAGATATAAAGAGAAATACCGTTCTCTTGGGCTGACGAGAGTTTTAGGGCAAAAAGAATAAGAATTTTCTAGATCAGATCACGCGAGTCATGACGTCACAATGGCATTGTTTACATAAAAGATGCAGTAATTCATATAACTCATTAGGCTACATAGATGTGAATGACTTGAGGGACCTTATCACGGTAAGGTCTACGTACACTTTATCCTCCCCAAACCCCTTGGATATGTTGTTGTTGTAGGCAATATAGATGTAAATCTCACGAGCCACTTGCCTCTTTTACAACTAGCAAGAGACTGCAGATTAGAACTAAAGGGCACACTCAGGCAAACAGTGGCCAACAGAACAGAGCCAATGTAGAAACAAAGAGAGCTATACAACAATGTACACAGTTATATAGTATGATCTCCACCTACCAAAATATCCGCGTATAAAGTGATCCCTCTTAGGTCTATTAGAATGAGACCACAAGATCCTTCAAGGATGGAAGTTATATAGATTTAAGCGTAGGAAAAGAAGAAAAACGAATACTAGCCTTCATCGGAATCATTAATCTATAAGACAAACTCAGATATTTGAAGAAAGTTGGCAATGCATCCAGTCTTGATCAGTTGCTTGCCAACTTTTTTAGTCTTCCATCTCTTCCTGCAGTTTTCCATTTCCTCCTCCTTCATCGTCGAGAGTTCCTGAAACCACTGCTGATATTGCAAATCAATTGCTTTCATCTCCAACTTTAGCTCTGTATCCTCATTTTTCTCGATTATAGAAGAGAAAGAACCACTTGACATTTTGTCGATATCTGAATAAGTCATTTCTGAATCCTTTCCATATTCATTTGATGGTACGCGTTCTGCAACATCACTGTTGTTTTCCTGTGTTGTCCATTCATCGTGAAACAAGTACCTAAAATCCATCTCCGAGATGTTTGTACTACAACTTCTAGGAAATCCATCATTAATATGATCATCAGAGCATACATTAGCATCTTCAGCCATTACTCTAGAAACAACTGATTGTTGAGATTTTCCATCATCCACAAGCGTCAAGCGCGATGGGGAAGCAAATGTAACATGATGAGAAGCGTCATCTGAATTCACATACAATTCACCTTTATCACTTCGAGCACCAACTTGAGTTTCCACGTTAAAGTCAGAAATAACACCTTGGTGACCTATGGACTTGGACAAGCAACCACTCACGTCTGTATGCCATGAATTTGAAGACATGTTTAAGCTTTCTTGAGGTTGTTTGCTTGGATTTCTCCCTCCACTAGAATGGTCACCAGAAGACGGATTCCAAGCAGGAAATATCTTCATTACTAGGTGATCAATAAAGTCAGCAATAAAAGCTACATCATGATCAGCTAGCTGCAAGTGTTCAACCATCTCAGCCGCAACTAACGGTGCAGTGTCAGTTTCAAGATAGAAAATGAAATGTATATTTCTAACACTACCTGCGCGCGATAACCAAATGTTTGGAATAAGAAAGAGGATATCTGATTCCCTCAAAAATAACAAATTGATATTCATATACTTACCAGCAGGATCTCTGATTCGCAAGGTCAACGAAATTGAGTTGGCATCATTCTTCTTCCCCATTAATTTGAATTCATTATTCTGATGACATCTCTGGAATTCCAAACCTGGAACACTAGGACTTCCACAACTAGAATCTGTATATATAGATTGGTTAGACTCGAAATCCACATCCATGGGATGAGGTAAAGGTTTCAATAAACTCAAGGATGTAGGACTTTGCTTAGGTAACTGAATTTGATTATCGACTGACTCCTCCAAGTTTTCAAATTGAAGAAACGGATCTTTCAGGAGGTCCCTAGCTGACAATCTCTCAGATGCTGCAACCAAGCATTTTTCAATGAATGCTTTGACTTCAGCATCGGTAACTTTACAGAGGGAAGCAGGTTTAATGCCCTGATAATGCAATGTTCTTTTAGATCGATAAAATGACACAATTACAAACAGAATACAAATTTAAACATCGAATTATAGAACTTACTGAGCTAACTTTCTTATAAATTTGGGCAGAATTCTTGCACTCGCTGTAAGGGTATTCAAAAGTTACCATTTCCAACATACACATTCCGAAGGAATATATATCTATTAGTTCATTATACTCTTCTTCGTAGAGCTCCGGGGCCATGAATTCAGGGGTCCCTTATGTATATCAATAAATAAAGTCAGTACTGGAGAAAGAATTTTGTAAAAGATTATATACTACAAGAAACAACCATACCAATAACACTCTTAGCAGTTGGCTGCTTCATAATAGTTGCCAATCCAAGATCACCAATCTTGATTTCCCCATGATTTCCATTGACAAATATATTATCACATTTCAAGTCTCGATGAATGATAGGTGGATTCTGACTATGGAGATACTCCAAACCTTGAAGAACCTGCCTTGCCCAATTCTTTATAGCCTTCATATCAACACTTTTATACTTGTTACGGTATCTACATTCACGAATAAACTACCATTTAAAAGAAAAATAGAATAAGCAAATGAAGAAACTATCAAGAAAACTCACTGCCTCAGGTTCCCAGACGTGAAGAGCTCAGTGATCATGTTAACTGTCTTCTTCTTGTGATCGATCCACGAATCGTATAACTTCATTACATTTTCATGTTTCAATTGTCTTAGAAGATCAATCTCTGAATACAATTTTTCCAAACTTTCTGATGACTGCACGTCCTCAATTTTCACTCGACTCCATGCAACTTCAATGCCCTCAAGTAGATCAAATGCCTTGTAGCTTAAAAAAAAACAGAATTCAAGAACAAGACAAAACAACTTAAGTATTTCAATTAAAAGAATTCTCAATTATATTTAGCCATATTAAATTCAGAGATCAAAATGAAAACCGAAAAAAAAAAAAGAGACAAAAGGTGAAGCACATACACAGTCTTGAATGCTCCCTTTCCCAATACCTCATTATACTGTAAGAGAAAACAAAAGCATAATTTATGAGATGAGTGATGACTCTAAAATATTCAATAAACAATAATAATGAAATCGTATAAAATAAATATTGCAAATTGATAAGTCATAATGAAAATGATCATAATTTTAAAGTACTAAATCATGCTAAAATAAGTCTAATAAGTATAAATTACATGATTAAACATTAAAGAAAAACTAAAATTATGTTATGTATTTTAAATGTCTAAACCAATGTAAAACTAAAGAACAATTATTCAACATTATTGTCATTCTTAGTGTTGAATTAATTTATTTTGTTAGCATTAGTATTCATTTGATTTTGAATTGAGCTTTATTAGAATTACTAATATCTATGGATTATAACATTTATTGGACCATTCAAAATTCTAAGTGTCAAAAAAAACTTCAAAAAATATGTTAAAAGATAAAAATTATGAAAACGTATAAGTAATATTTAGAAATTACATCAAAATAAATACTTTTATGGATAAAATAAATTTTAAAATTTATATATATATATATATATATATATATATATAATGTCGGATTGGTTTGGTCTCGGATTAACCTTTTTTAGTTAAAACCAAACCAACCCAAGTATAGTCAGGGTTTTTTTCTGGTGAGCTGAAGCTACGCCATGGCCTGTCTAGTTACCTCACCCAAATACTTCTTAGGTCTACCTTTACCCCTCTTCAAGCCCTCAATGGCCAGTCTCATGCACCCAACTCATTGGGACATCTGCACATTTCCTCGTCACACACCCGAATCATCGCAACCTTACTTCCCACATCTTATCCTCCACGAGGGTCATTTCTACCTTGGCTCAAACAACTTCATTCCTAATCTTATCATTCCTGGTGTGCCTAAACATTTATCTCAGCATCCTCATCTCAAGCTACTCTCATTTTCTAAACATAGAAATTCTTGACTGACCAATACTCCATCTCATATAACATAACAATCACTCACATTCTTATCACAAAGAACACCCGATGCGAGCCTCCATTTTATCCTCCTCGCCCTATTACGATGTGTGACAGCCTCCTCAATCTCTTTGTAACCTTGAATAACTGACCCTAGGTACTTGAAACTTGCTTCTCAGTTTTTTTTTTTAAAGTATTTTCTCTAGCGAAAGTATAAAAAGCAAGCTCCACAACTAACATTCCACATTGTTTGTCTCCTCTCCACCCTCCACAACACACCCTAAGCCCCATCCCCACCACCTCACATCCCTACCCCTACTAGATTATATACAAATATACTTTGGAAATACTATTTATTTTCTAATAAAACATTTTCCTTCGTACCAAAATCAAAACTTGAATAAGTAATATAGAAATGTAAACGAATTACCCTAACATAGCGCCCATTGGGATCTTTGTCAACATAGTCATGTTGCAAATTGAATGTCTCATTAGCCCAATTTCCAATTCCAGCCCGAGAAATCATTTCTGTTGAACAAAAAGAAAACACAACGACGACGACGACGAAGAAACAAGGTTTTACTCAAAGACAAAAGAGGATTTCATCAAGAAAAAGTGATTTTTTTGAATGACTCAAAAGGCCAGGGAGGAAGAAGAATTGTCGTCGGAATCGACATTGGGTATCATTGAGATCCACCCAATTCGTCGAATGAAATATACAATTGTCAGATGTGATTCTTGTTTCCATACCATTCTCCATTATAAAACAAATTTTTACAAGTCTTCTTCATTCAAGGCATACAACAACTAGCACTTTATTTGCTTTACTCAATTGTTGTGATGATATCAAAAAATAGCATCAACATATAAAATGTTGATTAGAAAAAAATGGGATAAAACGAAAAAAATGGAGAAACGGAAGGTTTGTTAAAAGGGAATTTGATTGCTAAATAAAAGGAAACAAACACTTGGGCTCTGTTTTTAATTCATATGTTTTTTTGTATATTCCATAATGTAACCTAAATAGAAAAACAGGAAAAAAAAATACATTTGAATTATAAGGTTAAATAGAAAAACAGGAAAAAAAATGCATTTGAATTATAAGATAAAAAATTTAAATAGAAAAACAGGAAAAAAAAATGCATTTGAATTTTAAGGTAAAAAAAAATTTATGCGGTGAACGTGGATCGAACACGTGACCTTCAGATCTTCAGTCTGACGCTCTCCCAACTGAGCTATCCCCGCTTGTTGATATAAAATCTAACATAACGTTAAATATATTTGTTTCTTTTTAAGAGTAAATATAAATGACATTTTTTATTTTTCAATATAGTAATTTGCTATATATGTGAGTTTTTTAAAAAATAATAATTATTATAGTGCTTGATAATTTAAAGGTAAATTATTCTAGTCTGATTTGAATTCAATTAACAGTTTTAATATACAAAAATAATGATAGTATGATAATCAAGATCAAGGAGACAATACATTAAAATAAAAATCATATGATATTATGAGCTTCTTCAATAATAAATATGTATGGTTATTTACTTCACATTCTCTCTCTTTTTTTTCTTTTTTTTTTATCTTCTATTAATAATATAATATTTTGATTTTAAAAAATTGATAGTCATGTCTCAACCATCCGAAAGATTAATTTATATATTCAATTGGATTTGCTTAGGGATAACAATTGAGCGGGTTGAGTCGAATTTGGGCGGGTCATAACAGGTTAAGACAATAATCGGGTCAAGATCTAACCCAACTCAAATTTGTTTGGGTCAAAATGGGTTAGATGGTTATATAACAGGTCAAAACTCAACCCAATCCAATTTTTACCAAGCTTAATTGTTTTATTTGTTCTTTTAAAATATTTTAATGCCTAAAATTATTATTTTTCTTTAATATGACTATATATAGCATATCAAATTGAAAAATAACTTTTAAGAAAATATTTTGACAAAATGTCTCATGAGCCAATTAGAATTACATATCAACCTAACCCGTCCAAACTTAAATGAATTAGGTGAATGAAACGGATTGAATTTGATTTTACCACCCTAATCCATTAGGTTGAGCAAATGAATTGAATATTACATTGCGATTTTGTAAACCAGAAGTTGGTTTGTATATTCAATTGGTTTTCACATGATTTTATGATCCACAGAAATTTCATAGTATATCTAAAATCATAAGTTCAAAAAATATTCTTTCTTAAACATCGTGAAAAACAAAAACTAATTTAAGAAAGTTAAAAATAATTATAATATACGCCATTTTTCTAAAAAGGACATTTATTAGAATGAAACAAATAAGTCAAAAGGCAAGTATTTTTTTAATTATTATTATTATTAAATATTTTTAAAAGTGGATTTATTTGTATGATCGGTGCAAAGGTGGACTAGACCTCATCATTCAAGAAAAAGGTCCTCTTGGCTACTTGATTATATTTCAACCGCTCTATACAGTTTTCTTTAATGAAATTTACTTTTCAAGATTTAAAAAACAGAGCAATTTCAAACCCAAATTATTATGGTCAATGTATTTTATTTTAAAAAAATTTAATGAATGATTAAATACTTATCCACTAAATATTCAAAAAAGTGAATATATTCGTACAACATACTAGTGCGTAGGGCGATTCAAAATTGAATAAAAATCGATAATTTGAACAGAAAAAAAGTTATTATTGGTTTAACATTAATGAGTTATTAGCGATTTTGGATTATCGGTCTTTAACGGATTAACCAATTATCCGATAGTAAATTAAATAATTATACTTATACGTACCATTTCGTATATAAAATCTTTGACTTAGAGCTTAGTTTCATACTTTTATTTCTAGTTGTCTCAAACTTTCGATCATTCAATGTAACAGTGTTGCTTTTGAGCCAGATGCAATTTGTCAACTTCTGTGCATAGTTCATTCTATCACATTGTTTTAAAGTGATTTTCAATGTTTTATTTTGTGTCAAATCTTAACGGTTAGACCGATAATCGATAACTGATAAGTTAATATCTTAATTGTTCTATAATGGTTTAGCATGTCTACAAACCCATAATCAATAAGTCGAACTGATAAACTTTAAAATGACCGATACGCAACTCTACTCGTAAGTATAGCTATAAGACGAAAGCCATCGGGATTTCCTACTGCATTTTGTTAAAATTAAAAATCTCTTGGAAAAAATAATAGTATATATTAACAAACATGTTTTTTGCAAAAAAATCATTTCATAAATTAAAAAGCACATTTCATAAACAAATGCCTCCATAACTGTTTGGAATTCAAGAGCCATGTACTAAATTCGACAATTAGATTTTAATAAATAATATAATTAAAAATCTTGATTTCACTAAAATAGTACTTACAATTTGTCATTATTTGGCAAATATTTTTAACAAATTCCGAGAGTCATGTAAGCTATTACTATTACATTGCAAAATATTCCTTTTTCTTTTTTGATTGAAAAGGAGTCAGAATACCGGTGGCTAGAAGCATTACAATCAACTAAAATACTAGTTGAGTAACCTACTAGAGTTAAACTATCCGATATTGAAAAGTTGCTCCCTCCTTGTCAGCATCGATACTAGAATCATGTATAACTTGTCGAATTATTCCAAACAAAAGCCTTTATAATTATAATTAGGGAAAAGGGATAAATAGTATTATTTAATTTTGTAATTTTAAAGCTGATATAGTTTTTGTTGAAAATTTAATGTGTATAACAAAATGATGTATATTTACCATTTTCATTAACAAATCTATATTTTCTACAATTTTTTAAAAAAAAATTCTAAAATGATTTTTAATCCCAAAATGCCACATTATTTTGAAAAATTACCTCACCTATTTTTCTTTACCTCTCTAGACCAAACCCAAATGAACATCCAGTATCACAAAAAAAAAAAAAAAAAAAAAAAACAGGTGAGTTATTTTTTTTTTTAAGTCATAACATTTTTGAACTTAAATTAGTTTTCAAGAATTTTCAATAAATATAAATCTGTTAATGAAAAAGATAAATGTATATCATTTACTACATTATATATATATCAAAAAGTATATCTCCTTTAAATCATAAAAATAA